ATTCGAAAGAAGGGACTGCTCTCACAGCTAGAGATTGACGAGGTACAACACAAATGCTACGGCAAGGAGGAGTCAGGACGCCAGGTCAGGGGGGCGATATCATCACCCCCACCCGAGATTGGGTACATAGCCCCAAGTGCGATAGGAGAAGGATCGTTGAGTGCGAGAGGAACTGACCTGAAAAATAGGATCATGGCCAAGCTTGAAACCTGGATCCCCCGTAGCCGGTTACCAAGATTACGTGAAGTACCCTCAGAAGGTCTGCTAGATGATGTTAATGCAGCACTACGGGCAATACCTACAACCACGATTACCGACACTAACAAGCTGATCTACAATACGGCAGCAGTGATCAGTGAGATGCTTGGCTACAAGTTGAACAGCAACAAGGGGCAGTACCCTCCATGGAGAAGGAGGCTAGAGGGCAAGATCAAAGTAGCACGGAGGGAGGTTAGCCAACTAACGGAGTTGTATGGAAGCCCCAAACGCAATTTCATTGTTCTTGACAATGACAATAAATAAATAAATACTAAATACTAAGACAAATAAGGTGCCTAAGAAATACAGCAAGCTGTCCATACCTGAAGCCTTGGAAACTGTCAAACAAAAACTCACAGCTTTGGCCAGCCGCTTGAGGAGGTACACCAGAGAGATAGAAGGCAGGAGAATAAACAGAGCGTTCTCACTCCCGAGGCGTAACATGTGGACGTTTTGTCACGTCCCGCGGCGTTCCTGAGGAACGCGAAAGGAGACCTTCGGCGTTCTTATGGTACGCGGCGGGTTATGGCTGGAATCCAGTGCAATGACGCTCCCGCGGTAGTAGACGTTCCAGCCCTGTATTCCAGCCCTAAACCTAACCTTATCCCTAGCCCTGACCACAACCTTATTCCTGACCTTAACCAGGACTTTAATGATGTTAAATAGCGTGTTTCTAAGCGATTTGAAGAAAAAGAGCGAACATGTGTAGGTTCAGTCCAGACGGTTCTCATATTTCCTCTTTTTCCGAGGTCGTCATTTAGGAACGTGGTGGGTAGCCGAAAACGTAATATGGTGACGATTTGTCACCTAGCGTAAAATGTTATGCTTTGGGAGTGAGAACGGGTTGGAATAAACCAGCTGTTCTCCACAGAACCAGCAAAGGTGTACTCTCAGTGGCAAGGGAACAATAAGAGAACAGCACCACCAAGGCTGGAGACGGAGCAATACTGGAAGAGCATATGGGAGAAGGATGCAACCCATAACGGCAATGCTCAGTGGCTAGAGGATCTGAGGGCAGACCACAGCGACCTCCCTGAACAGGGTCCAGTAACCATCACAGTGGCAGATATCCAAGAAAGGGTCTCCAGTATAAAGAGTTGGACAGCACCAGGGCCCGACATGGTTCACGCCTACTGGCTGAAGAAGCTGACTGCACTCCACGAGCGTCTGGCAGCACAAATGAACCAGCTACTAGTTAACGAGAGACACCCGGAATGGCTAACTGAAGGCCGGACGGTCCTGATCCCCAAGGACCCCAAGAAGGGACCGGTCCCCTCCAACTACCGACCAATAACCTGCCTCAGTACTACATGGAAGCTCCTGTCAGGCATCATATCGGCTAAGATGAACAGGCACATGGGTCAATACATGAGCGGGACACAGAAAGGAATTGGCAAGAATACCAGAGGCGCAAAACACCAGCTACTGGTAGACAGAACAATCAGCCGAGACTGCAAGACCAGACTGACCAACCTGTGCACTGCCTGGATTGATTACAAGAAGGCCTATGACTCAATGCCCCACAGCTGGATACTGGAATGCCTAGAATTGTACAAGATCAATGGGACGCTAAGAGCCTTCATCAGGAACTCAATGGGGATGTGGCGTACAACACTAGAGGCCAACTCCAAGCCCATAGCACAAGTCACCATCAAGTGCGGGATCTACCAAGGAGATGCTCTGTCCCCACTGCTGTTCTGCATAGGCCTGAACCCCCTCAGTGAGATCATTAACAAGACTGGCTACGGATACCGACTACGGAACGGAGCAGTTGTCAGCCACCTCCTGTACATGGATGACATCAAGCTGTATGCCAAGAGTGAACGAGACATCGATTCACTGATCCACACTACCAGGCTATACAGCAATGACATTGGAATGTCGTTCGGACTGGAGAAGTGTAGTCGGATGGTAACAAAGAGAGGGAAGGTAGTCAGAACTGAGGGGATTAAACTACCAGAAAGCAACATTGCAGACATAGAGGACAGTTACAAGTACCTGGGGATCCTGCAGGCGAATGGGAACCATGAAGAGGCCGCTAGAAAAGCTGCAACCACCAAGTACCTGCAGAGGGTCAGGCAAGTCCTGAGGAGTCAGCTGAATGGTAAGAACAAGATCCGGGCCATCAACACGTACGCCCTACCCGTGATCAGGTACCCTGCTGGGGTAATAGGCTGGCCAAAGGAGGAGATAGAAGCCACTGACATAAAGACAAGAAAGCTCCTTACCATGCATGGAGGGTTTCACCCCAAGTCCAGCACCCTGAGGCTGTACGCTAAGCGGAAGGAAGGGGGCCGGGGACTGGTGAGTGTCAGCACCACAGTCCAGGATGAGACAACGAACATCCAGGAATACATTGGGAAGATGGCCCCAACTGACCGAGTGCTCAGTGAATACCTCTTTCAGCAGAAACCCAAGAAAGAGGAGGGAGACGAGGAACCATCATGGAAGGACAGGCCCCTGCACGGTATGTACCACCGGCAGATAGAGGAGGTGGCTGATATCCAGAAATCCTACCAGTGGCTGGACAAAGCTGGACTGAAAGACAGCACAGAGGCACTAATCATGGCAGCACAAGAACAAGCTCTGAGCACAAGATCCATAGAGGCTGGGGTCTATCACACCAGGCAAGACCCCAGGTGCAGGCTGTGTAAAGATGCCCCAGAGACAATCCAGCACATAACAGCAGGGTGCAAGATGCTAGCAGGCAAGGCATACATGGAACGCCATAACCAAGTGGCCGGCATAGTGTACAGGAACATCTGTGCCGAGTATAACCTGGAAGTCCCGAGGTCAAAATGGGAGATGCCCCCAAGGGTGGTGGAGAATGACCGAGCTAAGATCCTGTGGGACTTCCAGATACAGACGGACAAAATGGTGGTGGCTAACCAACCGGACATAGTGGTGGTAGACAAACAGAAGAAGACGGCCGTAGTGATCGATGTAGCGGTTCCGAATGACAGCAATATCAGGAAGAAGGAACACGAGAAGCTGGAGAAATACCAAGGGCTCAGAGAAGAGCTCGAGAGGATGTGGAGGGTGAAGGTAACGGTGGTCCCCGTGGTAATCGGAGCACTAGGTGCGGTGACTCCCAAGCTAGGCGAGTGGCTCCAGCAGATCCCGGGAATAACATCGGAGATCTCTGTCCAGAAGAGCGCAGTCCTGGGAACAGCTAAGATACTGCGCAGGACCCTCAAGCTCCCAGGCCTCTGGTAGAGGACCTGAGCTTGATATATATCATCCACAACACTACACACTAACTACACAAGACAACACATTAAGTACACACTCCAAACACGCTAAACGTCACAAATCTCTCACATCTCAAAACTCTCTCTCTCTCTCCGTCACTCCTAAAACTTCCCCCTCTTCCTAAACAACCAAATGTCATGGTGCCATATCATTTTTTGATTGGTTGACATTTTTCCACCAACACGAAAGGGCTGATTTTTGTTTGTTTTTTAATTTTTTTGGTCATATGCAGAGAGTGCTCGCTGCGCTGTCCTTAGACGTTAAACATGACGAAACTATTGAGAAAAAAACGCGTATATATCGTTTATCATGACTCTGGTTTTACCTCAGCCAAACAGCAGCATTCATGCGATTGTTTTGCCGCCTTATCTCGTGTTGTGCCAAAAAGTTATCGCCCAGATTACTTACAGCTACTTCCGTGCAACTGATATAAGATGCAGTAAGCTGAAGACAGCTTCAGCCGCCTGTTTGTTGAAAAATAGTAACACGACCGCACCGCATTTTCTTGTTAGTAACGGTAACGGCGTTGTAACGATAGGAATAGTAATTATTTAGATTACTCGTTACTGAAAAAGGTAACGTCGTTACTTGTGCAGAGCATTATTAAATCTGCCCTGTGGGCTCCGTTATTATTGAGGTCATACTCAAATAAGTATTTAGATTTTGTTTTAGAGCTCACATGGGAACCGCAATACAAAAGCAGACTGGGAATCAATATTTTTTTTTAAGTTACCTGATGGGTTTGCAGTGTTTCCGATATTATAGTCAAACTTTAGAAATGTGTTCATAATGAAGTGCAGTCATCTACTTCAAATTACCTTCATGTAGTTTGTTGTTTGTTCTTCTCTCAGTTCTGTACTATACAATGTTGAAATGTCAAAATGCTTCAGTTAATGGGAAAGTTGATCAATTGCAACACTGATAACAAGTCCACACAGTCTGTTTTACTTTAATGTCTAACTGTTGTGTTAGGTATATTTTGTATAACTCCCTACAGCTAGATTTAGGATGACTGGGAAAGTACTAACTCTTGTCTCACTCTTTTTGTTTTGTTTAATTAATGGGGCTTAGAAAGATCGAAAGATCGAGCTTGAAGGATAAACCGCCCGCAGGGGCGTGCTGGGTGTTTTTTTTTATATATATACATACATACACATTGGGTGAATGTGCAGTAGTAGCAGCAAGCAGGTGAATTCTGTACATTAATATGAATAGACATCTGACTGCCAGTGCAGTCTCCCCATGCTCACAGATTGAGGTCGTACTGGTTTTGCTGCTGTAATCTTTTAGATTTGAGCCCCTGGTCCTGATCTGATCATCATGATCCACAGTGGTCTCTAATTCTTACAGCATCTGTCGCCACTTCTTTACATCAAGATTATCCCTGATCTAAAGCTGTTACAATTAAACTGCATCCTGTAATAATCTCTGCTTCTGGGGCTGTTAATGTAAATTTCTATTATGACTCTTCATTTGTCTCATGTTCACAGATAAATGACCATGGGGAAAGGCTGCATGACAGCGAGCAAGTACTTCTTGTTCTTCTTCAACCTCATCTTCTTTGTAAGTATTTTAAATTTACTAGTGACTCATAAAAGTGTTCTGTTGCAGAAAAATGCACCTTTAGGATGGTGTTAGAGCAGCTGTATGTTTGTGATTGAGTTTATTACTCCATTCAGTTCACGTCAGTTTGATTTAATATTGCACCAAATCACAACAGGAGTCGCCTCAAGGCGCTTAATATGGTGAGATAAAAACCTGACAATAACAAAGTACATTTGATAACACATAAGTAAGCATGGGAAAACTGTCCAGCTTGTATTGTAGAATATCATGCTTTGGCCTAAGATCTACTTTTTAGAAGAATTTTATAAATCTTAGATTGTGTCAAATGGTGCTAAATAGAATAGAATAGAATAGAATAGAATAGAGTTTATTTTGAACATGTAAATATAACTAAAATGACAAAAGATTAAACCACTGACAGGTGGTTAGGGACAGATCATCTTCTTACAATGATTTGTAAGCATACTCCCTCATTTGGTCTTCATAATCCTGGTGGATGGCAGCCGATTGTTATCAAGAATGTCTTGGTACATTTTTCCACTCATCCTTCCTTCAACTTTATGAAGACTGCCAGTGCAGTGTCAATGTCAGTTACATTGATTTGTAAGAAGATAATGCAATGTTATGTTGGGATACCAAGGGCCCAGGCATTTAAGGCATTCCTGTCCAGGGTGTACTCTGCCTTTTGCTCTGTGACAGCTGAAATAGACTTTCCAACCCCTTAAATTGGATAAGCAGAAGAAAAAGGATGGATATATAAATATGGTTTAAAGTAGCGCTTATTTTGCTCTGACAGTGTAAGGCAGTTTAAGGCACTAACATTAACAGTCCACCAAAGTGACCAATCTTCCTTTGGGCTCTGCCCTCCAAACAGTGAAAAGTTAAGTTAGTTTATGCAAGCAGAATTCAGCTTTGAGCACATTAAGCAACCTGTCTGCGCAAAACTGTAGCAGTGAGTGCAACGCAGACACTCTCATATGCATGATGGCTTTTTTGTGCAAGTGGCTGTGAGTTCTATGCATGCATGTTATAAAAATTAACATGTAAGGAATTTAATTGTGCTTGCAATAGTTTGGGGGTGGTTTTCGCGCACTGAACTTTTGGCATACACTACTGGTCAAAAGTTTTAGAACACCCCAATTTGTCCATTTATTTATTGCAATTCAAGTCGTTCATGTCCAATGAATAGCTCGAAATGATACAAAGGTAAGTGGGTGAACTGCCAGACCTTTTTTTTAAAAAAAGGTAAGGTTACCCAGAACTGAAAAGTAATCTACATGTTAGAATTATACAAAAAGGCTTTTCAAAATGGGTTAACAATTTAAAGCTGTTCTGCAGCAATGGAGGTTCATCAAGCCTTGAGAGCTGGTGCTACTAATTCCTACAGCTGTTTCAACTGTTTTAGATTACTTACAACCCCCTCTGTGTGCATATTAGCAGTGTTGGAACGCACTGTAAAAATCAGCTGAACAGTCTTGTACTGCAGAAAGTAGTGCGTTGCTGCAAAAATGGTGAGAGGGCCATTATCAATGGAGACAGACCATCATAGCAAAAAGTCAAGGTGTCATTGAGTACAGTTTCATTCACCACTCAGAAACAAACTCTGACAGGAAGAGGTCCGGCAGATCTAAAGCCACAACTGAATCAGAGGACAAGTTTCTGAGAGTTAACAGGTTGTGTGATATGCGTAAGCAAGTCTCAGTTTCAACTATGAAGACAAGACTTTGAGCTGCAGGTTTGACAGGACGAGTTGCATTGGATTTCTATTGTGGAAAGAATGCCACAGGTGTGTTCAGCTGTTATATCTGCCAAAGGTGGCTACTTTGATGAGTCAAAGATTTAGAATACGTTTTGGGCTATAAGTCGATTACATGATTCCCTTTTTTAACTCCAATGGCTTATTTGTACTATGCTTTCTTTTCAGAGTGCAATGTGATGTTAAACTGCATAATTTTCAATAAAAAATTTGAGAAAGTGGGATGTAAATGTAAATGTAATTCCAAACAAACATAGACAAACATGTTGTTGGCTTGTTGGCTAATATTTAGGAATATTCAATACAGCAACTTTTAGTCAAAATAAAGGTAAAATGTCAAGAAATTAATCAACTCAGGACAATTTGCGCTGTTGCATTAAAACTCTTAATAGAGTGGGTTTTCATTGCACCCTCTGCATTTGCAGCTTCCACTGTGTTCCTATTTGTTCTGACAGATACTTCTGAAAACACATAATTTCATGCTTCTCATTAGTGAGTTTTTAGAACCCATTTTGATCAAAGTGTTTTTTTAAATACATGAAAATCATGGAAAGGAAGTGGTGCTTGTAACTATCAAATTTCTTGTGACATCCTTTCATTCTGATAGTTCTCATGCAGTTCTCATATGTATCCTCCAGCTGTTTGGGGCCGTCATCGTTGGCTTTGGATTTTGGATTCTCCTGGACAATCAGACTTTCATCGTTGCCCTGAGTAAGTGCTTGATCAGGTTTGAGGTCATCTGTACTTCTCTGTGTGTTTGAACCAGTGGTGGGAAGTAACGAGGTACAAATACTTTGTTACTGTACTTGAATGAATTTTTAGGTATCTGTACTTGAGTGTTTATTTAAATTGATGGATTTCAGGGTTTTTATTGTTGGCTTGGTTTCCCTGAGTCTTTTCCCATGTTGTAGTTGTGTGTCTTATTTTGAAAGAAGTATTTACACGTTACCATAGCAGCCAGAGAGCATTAAGGGGCAGATAGGAGGATCTAACTCTTCATATTGTTGGCGCATTTCAGGCGGACGCTGCTAATAAAGTTACACAATTACACAGTGAATTCGTGTCTATTAATATATTTAAAAAATACAACAGTTTTTGTCTTGTTGGTATCATTTTATTTTGTTGTATGTATCCGCGACACCTTAAAGGCCGATCCGTTAAACCGGTGACGTTAAACCGGTCCGTGGACCAAAAAAGGTTGGGGGCCGCTTATCTAGAGCATGTATACTTGGGAGTCAAAGTGGGCTGAAAGGTACGGTGGCTGGGAAGTGCAAATCGCAACAAATTAAAAAACCACAACAAATTACAAAAACCACAACAAATTACAAAAACCACAACAAATTAAAAAACCCCACAACAAATTAAAAAACCCCACAACAAATAAAAAAAAACCCGCAACAAATTACAAAAACCACAACAAATTAAAAAAACCCGCAATAAATTACAAAAACCCGCAACAAATTACAAAAACCCGCAACAAATTACAAAAACCGCAACAAATTACAAAAACCCGCAACAAATTACAAAAACCCACAACAAATTAAAAATAAGGATAATTATTAGGCCATATATAAATAACAAAATAACTTAAAGCAAAATTGGAGAACGCAAAGTCTGAAACAAGTCTTTATATTAAGGGCCATCAGTCAAACATTACTGTTTGGTCTGGGTCTGAACAGAGCGTGTTGTGTGTGACGTCTGCTTTTGCGCATGCAGGCCACTTTGAGGGTTCACAAAGGAGCGCTTTTGCTGTCACATTTTATTTGTAGTGTGAACAAGCAGACACAAAAAATCAGATTTAAATATAAAAATCGGAATTGAGCATTAAGACCTGCAGTGTGAACGTAGCCATAGTGAGTTCAGTGCACTGATGTGACATTGTCCTGAAGGATTTAGTTATTCTCAATGGTTAAAGAAATTGCAATTATTTCTTCATATTTATTATAAATAATACTAATTATATATCTTGCTTCCATGTTTGTGTCCTGTGTCTCATTTTTTACTATAATACATTGATTAATATCAGCTCGTCTCACAGCTGCTATCCAGACTAGACGCCTTCTTTTGGTAACATCCGATACAAGAGCTGCCTCATGTTGCTTCCAGATGGGGAAAGAATGAAAAGATAAACCATTTTCAACCTTATTCCCTTGCCGGTCGTGCGATCTAACTTTACAACCGACCGCACAGCAAGTACGAACCATAGCTGGTGTTATCCGTGTACTTTCGCTCCTCTTTCGCTAGCGCTTTGTTTGGCCCAGAAACATGGCACCACAACCAAAAACCATGGCCACGCCTCCTCTCGTGACATCACGCTCCAAAAGCCCTATTAGGCTAATCGTTGCGTCACTTCCGGTATTTCAGACAATCCCTTTCCGTCAAGGATTTTTAATTTGTTGCGGGGTTTTGTAATTTGTTGTGGGTTTTTAATTTGTTGCGGGTTTTTAATTTGTTGCGGGTTTTTAATTTGTTGTGGGTTTTTGTAATTTGTTGCGATTTGCACTTCCCAGCCACTGTAGAAAGGAGTGCAGGTGTCCGTATGTTGTGGTTGCGGTACTTCAAATCTAGCTAGCATTACATGGAGAAAACATGAAGGGAGTTACATTTTTTAAGTGTCAGGTAATTTGAAATTCAAGCTTAACAAACATAAATAAACATACCAACTGTTGTGTGCAGTTTGACGCGTGTGTTGCTGAAAATAGTTGTTTGTATGAGATAAAGATGTTAGCTTGTCGTACTGTGGTTAATTTATTGTAAAGCACTGTGCTGGACTGGTGCACAGTGGCTGTGGTGTCCATGGTCAGTGTTGGTTTAAATCAACTGTAATATGCTAATATTCATTTACGTTTTGCATTTAAGTTCTCATGCAGTTCTCATATGTATCCTCCAGCTGTTTGGGGCCATCATGGTTAGATTAATTTGCTGAATCCACATTTGTACCAACAGTTTAGTAACAACACAATATACAGTGTGGAGTCAGTTTAGAAAATGGGAATCGGCCAAGACATTTTGAGTTGTGATTCTTTTCCTTATGCGGAGACACTACACAGATCTAAGGGTTCCCCACCTGCTGAATCCCTACATAACAGATTCAAACTGAGTGCATTCAATTGAATTAGAATTTATATTTAAATATTTGGATTATTATGTACTAATATTATTTTATTATATTAATATAGCACAGGGATCAGTTTCCTTTGTACAGAATTAGAAATGTCCTTCAAGGAGCTACTTTTTACTTTCCTACTTAGAGTACATTTCAGAGCCTTTACTTTTTCACTTTTACTTGAGTAAAAAAGATGCTTCAGTACTTTTACTTTTATTGGAGTATTTTTTTAGACACAGGTATCTATAGTTCTAAGTAAGAAAGTCTGTACTTTTTCCTCCTCTGGTTTTAACTTTACTTAAGTCACTTTCCTGCTCTTATTGAATAGGAGTATAAAAATACAACCTGCTGTCTTGACCAGCGTTTGGTGTGAGTCCTACTAAAACAGAAATGCTATATTGTATTTTCTCCAGTGGATACTTCCCACTAAACCCCTTGTGGATTGCATTTAGGCCAAAAAAACAAGAAGCTATGATTAAGAGCCTAAATGTGGCCATGTTCTAGCTCCAAGTATCACTGTTTGTTTGTGTGACAGGAAGAAAAAAGAAGAAATGCAAACATTGGGAACCTCAGATTTTATGGTTTACTTATTTGAATTGTTAAAACACAAACTATGAAACTCAAAACTGTATCAATATATGATCAGACATAAGCATACCATTCTTATTTTGTCAAAGGATTTCATTTTTTTAACACTTTCTAGCGAATTCTGGATAATTGATTTTTGTTTTTTTTAACAATCATCAAATCCTATTTAAAATAAGGTTAAAATCTGTAAAACAAAACCAGAATCTATTTTTAGAGACAGCTTACCATGAAATCCCTTTTACAGTAATTATTTTAGTAATGAATCTATGTTTTTTACATCCAATGTATTGATACTTCTGTGACTATACATCATAGACATTAAACCGGTGCAGAGAAACTATGTTACAGCCTATGACACTGATGAGTTATAGATTTTGGTTTTAGATTGTGATTTTTGGGGGGATGGTCAAATATAATCTATAATAATTTAATCGACATGAAGTATGTGCTACAAACTGTCTGTTTCCTAAACTTCCTCAAAGTAGTAGTATGGGCTATGTGTACTTTTTTATGTGGTTATTCCATTAGCAACAGGATTATCAGTAATTGATCTTAAAAAATATGTTGTAAGTATGTTGAGTTAAACCAATATATCCAGCTACTTTTCTTAATTTTTTGTTTGTTTTGCTCTTTGCCTTCAAGCTGGCTGTAGTTAAACCTTTACTCAAAAAGCATCTCTAGACCCAGCAGTCTTAGCTAATTATAGGCCAATCTCCAACCTTCCTTTCATATCAAACATCCTTGAAAGAGTAGTTGTCAAACAGCTAACAAATCATCTGCAGAGGCTTATTGAAGAGTTTCAGTCAGGTTTCAGAGCTCAGCACAGCACAGAAACAGCTTTAGTGAAGGTTACAAATGATCTTCTTATGGCCTCTGACAGTGGACTCATCTCTGTGCTTGTCCTGCTAGACCTCAGTGCAGCGTTCGATACTGTCGACCATAATATCCTATTAGAGCGATTAGAACATGCTGTAGGTATTACAGGTACTGCGCTGCAGTGGTTTGTATCATATCTATCTAATAGACTCCAGTTTGTGCATGTAAATGGAGAGTCCTCTTCACACACTGAGGTTAATTATGGAGTTCCACAGGGTTCAGTGCTAGGACCAATTCTGTTTACATTATACATGCTTCCCTTAGGCAGCATCATTAGAAGACATAGCATACATTTACACTGCTATGCAGATGACACCCAGCTCTATCTGTCCATGAAGCCAGATAACACACACCAATGAGTTAAACTGCAGGAATGTCTTAAAGACATAAAGACCTGGATGACCTGCTTCTAAATTCAGATAAAACTGAAGTTTTTGTACTCTATAGCTAGGGCAGGATTAAGTGATCCTGAATTCTCCCTTAGTTACACTGCAGTGCATCTAGGCTGCTTGGGGATTCCCCTTACTACGTGTTTACACACCTTTCTGCATTTAATTATTAGTTATTATTAATCGCTGGCTCTGTTCCACAGTGTGTCTTTGTCCCATCTTCCTTTTCCTAGCCCCAACTGGTCGCAGCAGATGGCCATCCATTCCTGAGTCTGGTTCTGCTGGATGTTTCTTCCTGTTAAAAGGAAGTTTTTCCTTCCCACTGTTGCCAAAATGCTTGCTCATAGGGGTTCATGTGATTGTTGGAGTTTTCTCTGTTTTCTTTCAATTACTGTAGGGTCTTTACCTTAAGATATAAAGCACGTTGAGCCATGATTAAATGAGATAATTAAGATATAACAGTCAGTGACATTGGTTTTAAAGTTTCTCATGAAGTTTTTGTGAAGTGTTTTTTTCAACTAAGGAGCTTGGAAAGAAAAGCGTCTGGACTTCTTTAACTTGCTTGAAGACGTTTCACCTCTCATCCGAGAAGCTTCTTCAGTTCTAAGGTCAAATGGTGGAGAGTCCCAGATATAAACCTAGTGGGAGTTTCCCCCCAAGAGGGACAAAGGACCCTCTAATGAATTCAGTCAGTCAGGAAAAATCACAAAAAACAAACAGCGGTTATGATTATTTTAATACTTATTAGGAAG